TCTTATAAGTGAATCTCCCTGTACTTTATCTATTGAAGCCTTATTGGCAATGTTCTCTCACTACAATACCCAGCATGCATCACACAAGTACATCACACATCCATTGGGAATCCCTGTGGTGTCAACCAATCCTGACTGATTGCCCAGCCACAGCTATAGGCTAATAAATAGACTCAAGCTAGCAGAAGTATAACTCACTTCAACTGCCACACAAAGTCATAAAGAATAAAGAAACAGCATTTCTGTCTTTATTCAGGACAAAATTGAGTTTTTACCCTTTCAAGCAGGGAACGCTGCTAGAGGAACCAGCCTGTTGTTTTGGATGCTGGTAACCAACACCAGGCCAGCCTAAACCAGGATAGACCAGCTTAGACCAGCATGGAATGCGAGCTGGTTTGTGCTGTTTTTTCAGCAGGAAAAAAGATCCAAACTGAGGTAAGTTTGCTAACTTTAGCTTTTAGCTAATCATCATTATGAATTATTGGTTTTATGAGTCTTGGTTCCTCTGAGTGGTTCTTTTTCTCTGTTTGAGTTTCTCCTTTTGAGTTTTGGTTCTTCTCTGTGGTTCTTTCCTCATGATTTTAGGAAGTTTCTCCTTTTGAGTCTTGGTGAATCTCGGTGGTTCTTCCTCAAGTTCTTAGAGAGGCTCTGCTTTTGAGTCTTGGTGAATCTCGGTGGTTCTTCCTCAAGTTCTTAGAGAGGCTCTGCTTTTGAGTCTTGGTGAATCTCGGTGGTTCTTCCTCAAGTTCTTAGAGAGGCTCTGCTTTTGAGTCTTGGTGGTTCTTCCTCAAGTTCTTAGAGAGGCTCTGCTTTTGAGTCTTGGTTCTTCTCAATGGTTCTTCCTAACACTGCTGGGAAGTTTATCCTTTTAAGTCTTTCCCTCAGCTGGATCATTAGGGAACTGGACCTGCATTTCTGGAAAGCCACATTGGGACAATGTCTGCTATAGAAAGAGCTACACAAATAACAATGTACTTAACTGAAACAAAACATACAGTTGGGAGAGGCTCCAGCATCCCACTGTGACCCAGAAGGATAAACGGTTTAGATGGTGTGTGTGTGTGTGTGTGTGTGTGTGTGTGTGTGTGAAACAAAACATGAAAAACTGTTGGCTCACTTTGAAACATGAGTTCTCAGTTTATAATGTCGCCTGTTTAGCACAAAGTTTATTCTTATTGAAATTTCTTTTTGCTTTAGGCCATGAAAAGCAGTCCACATATTTTTGACAGAAAATGTGTTTTATGCATTGTGTTGTAACTATTCCGCCTTGCAGGCATGTCATTAAGTTTCATTAGATAAGCACTGTGCTCTCCAGGAGCCTTATTTGTGTCTGAACAGCTGTTTTAACTGGTAGTACTTGTTCTTTTATATATCGCAGTGTGCTGTACAGAAGTGCAGTTTATGGCCTACAGGTTATTGTCTGTATTGGATCATCTGTTTCACTGCCTGTAATAATGTGACTTTTGAGACATTTGAGGCCCAATTTCCAAAACAAAAGGCTTTTACAAGACCGGCTTTATGACCGGAACTTTTACAATAGTTTAGTTTCTTGACATCTGTGTGAAAATATTCTGCACTCGTCCAAATTGTTTGAAACTCAGATCAACTTTGGTAAGTAGTTATTAATGTTTTCGTATGAACAAAAAATATGATTTTTTACAAAACATGGTGGTACAACATGCTTACTTGCTGGTACACTGCAAAGAATGGCATCTTAGCCAGTGAAATCATTTTAAATCTATTAGATATATTTATGTTCCTCATTGTGTGAATGTTAGAAGACTATTATAAGATTACTTAACTTATTTTTCACTTTAAGTGAAACTCTCACTATATTGGCAGATACCTTGCTTGTTTTAAGAAATATGCTTGAAACAATAGTTATGCAACTGCAGTTATCTAAATGCATGGCTGCTGATAGATAGTAAACAATATATTAAATGGGGTTTTCTTGTACTATAATCTGGCTGAGCTGCATTCAAAACCATAATAGAATATTCAATATACATATATATGACAACACACATGAATTCTATATTTATGCATCAAGTTATTAAAATGGCATTGCTTGGTGAAAGATCTTTTAAAATGTAATTTTATAGCGGGTCTGGCAGCATTGCTCCCAGATGTTTTTAGTCATTGTAACATGATGAAAAGCCTGGTAAATTCTGGTGCACTCTGAGATTGAAGTACAATTAAAATACAATTTAATTACTGTGCATTTTTTCAGTTTAACAACTATGCTAACGCATGTCACGCAACATCAAACATTGTACTATATCAAAAAGGTCCTTGGGTACAAAATTTAACTCCACACTTTGTACAACCCAATCAATTAAATATGGGGTTTAAATGATTTGCACGTAATTGCATTCTGTTTTTATTTACATTTTGCACAGCATCCCAACTTTTTGGAAAAGGGGTTGTATTATATATTGAGACTATTTTAAAGACTTTGTCCATCATTTGTGTTCTACTGACTCCATAAGGCAAGTAGTGCTTGGACCCCTATTATCACCACTCAGGTGCATGGCAAGTTAATTTTGATATGTGCATATTTACGTCCCTCTATCTCCCCCTCACTGCTCCTGACAAACCAATGATCACATTCGTGTCATTCCACTCATTTCAAACTCATGGTGGCCATAAGTCCGAATGGTGTTTGGAAACAACTGACGAGTTTATTCTTCTGCACTGCTCATCATTGACATGTTCAAATATCTTTAAGGTTGCCAGATTGATTAGATTAGATTAAGTGACCCTTATTAGTCCCACAATGGAGAAATTTCACCTCTGCAATCTAACCCATCCGTGTAGTGAAACACCATATACACACTAGTCAACACGGACCCTAGGGGGCAGTGAGCACACTCGCCGGGACCGGTGGGAAGTCCTAGCCATGGAGCACGGGGAGCAGTTGGAGCTTAGGTGCCTTGCTCAAGGGCATTTCAGTTATGTACTGTCATCTCAGGGGATCAAACCGGTCACAAGGCTGGTTCCCTAACCTCCAGCCCAAGACTGCCCCAGGACTGGGCACCCTTGATCACCTGCAATACATTTTCATGTTACATTTTTACACTTACGGCATTTGGCAGACGCTCTTATCCAGAGCGACTTACAATTTGATCATTTTACACAGGTAGGCGAAGGTGGTGTTAGGAGTCTTGCCCAAGGACTCTTATTGGTATAGTGCAGGGTGCTTATCCAGGCAGGGGATTGAACCCCAGTCTACAGCATAGAAGGCAGGGGTGCCCATAACTTTGTGGCCTAAGATCTACTTTTTCCAGTGGACAGGTCATCGTGATCTACCTCTTAAAAAAAGCTATGATAACAGTAAATTGAAGAGACAGTAGCCACATTTCACGTTAGTCAATTATGTTGACCTGCCCGCCACCAGAAGCAGTAAGAAAGTCTTGAAATTCGATAGCCTGTTTGAATGAGGAGCGATCTACCAGCATTGACTGGTCGATCACAATCGACGTATTGGCCACCCCTGCACTGTACCAACCACTAACATTAGAATTTGATCCTAATTTGATTTTTAATCTTAATCTTGAAGTTTTAATTTTCTATTGACTATTTGAATATTCAAGAATAATTTCAACACAGTGGAAAATATTCCAAACAGAAAATATTTTATAGTTGCAGCTATTATAAACGTTACGTTATGATGAGACAAGCGATATGAAATTTTACCAAAGTTGTTTTTCAGTTTTATCCAACGTTCTGGTTACTTTTACTTTCCCTAAGGTGTTCTGATGTCCATGGTGATCAGGCGGAGCCTGTGCAAACTCCACCCACTACACTAGTAATAAATGACTACATTCTCCAATGTGTAACCAATCAACAGTGCGTAATGAATCATGACATGAGACAGGAAATTACATCAGCACACTCTGTTTATTGGTACGAATCATTGCAGGAACAGCACACATCCAGCCAAGCACAGAAAGAGCGGGAGTTCAAGCAGACGGTACAAAAAACATTCAACAAATGTAAAAAAATGGAAGGTCAAACTGGGAGAATAGAGGAGATAGAAGGACAGAGGGGAGTAATAATGTCTAACACTGCCTGAAGAGCAACGTTCCAGATATCAGAACAGTGGGCCCTGTCTTTGAAACTGTCAGGTAAATAGGATTTAAAACAATTTTTCAAAATCTCTATCGTTAAAGATGTAAACCACGTCATTCAGAGTGGTTTGGCGTGAAATGGTCCATCGGAACTGTTCACAGTGGTGGTGATAGGAACCAGACGGCGCCTCTAAAAGCTCCCTCACAGAAAGTTATTACACTGAACGTTAATTAATGTTCCTTAATGAACGCAAGTTCTTTCAGTTCCAAACAGCTTTTCTTTCTGTAGCACTGTCCATTTTTTCTTCCCAGAATGATCCAATGCAGTGATATTATATCATTTAGTTTTTAATAAAAACTTAGTCTACCTTCTAATAAGCTAATCAACAAAAACTGCATTATGTTTTTGAAAAAATATTAGAGTTAAATGTTCAAATGTAATTTCACTGAATGAATTTTGAGGGCCGGAGATCAGCAGACAAGTAAAATCCAGGCAAATCCATCAACCAAAGACTGAGGCACACTTGGAAACAAGTTTAGGAATTCCATGAAAACCACCAAGAACAAAACCAGAGAACAAGAAACAGGTGGTGGGGGTGATGAGGGGCGGAGCCGGAATATTCCAAGGAGATGCAAGCAGGGTTCCTGTGATTTTCAGCTACTACATCACTCCTAAATGGTTCTATGTAGAACCATGAATGCTCAAAAATCATCTTTATGTTTAATAGTTCTTTGCATGGTGAAATGGTTCGTCAGATTGATGGAAAATGTAGTGTATATGGTTCTATATAAAAGAGTTTTTCTATTGTTATGATGTCAAGCATGTAACAATAAAAGAACCCTTTTTGGTGCTATATAGAGTTCCATGTAGAACCACATACAACACTTTCTCCATCAATCTGAAGAACGTTTTCACCATGTAAAGAACAATTTAAGCATGAAATGGTTCTGTATAGAACTCATGGCTCTAAACAGAACCATTCCTTTTACTAAAGAACCCTTGAAGAATCACCTTTTTAAGTGTGTAGAACTTACGATGAACAGAGAAACCTTCCATCCCTGTAAGCAGAAGAGCTGGTAGGAATTTTGGGCTCTACATAGAACCATTGTCTTTATTAAAGAACCCTTGAAGAACTCATTTGTCTTCGTTTACAGAACAAAAAGTCTGAGTCCCCTCCCAACGTTCACCTAAATGAGACTCGTGTATGAAACTTTACCGGGATGTTGTGAGACAAAGACTGGGCCCCTTGGGAAACTGGCAACATCACCCTTCATTCACCGTTAGCACTGTTTAGTTGGACCATCTCTTAAAATGCAGGGAAATTTCACCTGAACCCAACAGCAGATGTGGTTCACATCAAACAATCTGGGATTGGTGGGAATTGCACTGGACATGATTAGGCATGCCAGCTCTATTTTGGGCTGTGCACGGATAAACCTCGATCTTGCTGAGTGTTGATTAGATGGTGGAGGATTTGTTTCTGGATTACACTAAAACCCTTCTGCTTGTGTGGATACAGTTGACCATTCCAGGCCACTGTGTAATCAGTGTACATACAGAGTGACACGTTATGAAAGCTGCAGCCCTGCTGCCTGATTACCAGCCATGTTCCACCAGCCTCGGTTCTCGAAGCGAGGCTTTCTTTTGTGGGTTAGAAAACAGCTTTTAAGGAATTCAACAACAAACTAAGACATGAGAGCAACAGTAACAACTGCTGCTAACTACCAGCAAGATACTGTGTCGCCTGTATCCATCTTTTTTTTCGCTGTTTTATAGCTAACGTGAGAATATGACATCCCACCAGCAGGGCGGCGCCAAAAAGCGATGAATTCCTTTATACGCCAGAAATATTAAGTGAGGAAATAATGTCAATATGATCTCTAAATGCTTTATATAGTGATAAGGAGATAGTAAGGAACCAATTTACCTTAACAGAACACATCTGTTGTTATGCATTATCAATGGACATATACATATGAAGCGTAGTGGTGAAATTGACCCTAACAGGTCACTGATAACAAACCAGAATGAGAAAGAAATGAATGTCTTTACCCCCATAGTTCTAGAAAGCACCCCCCCCACCCCTCCCACACACTGTTTACAGGATCATACAGGTATAAACATTCCTACAAGCACACCTGCATATGTAGAATCCGCTCATGCAAAATGAAACGCATCTCACGGCTAGTCACAAACACGGAAAATAAACCACAGTAAGGTTCTACCTGAACCGCCTTGTTGTACATCGTCAGTTACACTGGCTACAGCAGTCATACTGCATATAGCGATGCTAATGCTAAGTCTAACTTGATACATTAGCCAGCTTGTTAGAAAGTTAGCTCGTCGTTTAATGCCTCATAGCACTCTTTGGTCCGATATAGGGTGCTACATTGCTTGTTACAGACACTGTTGGGGTTTCGTTAATGGCAGGTTCAAGTAAAATCTCAGCAGAAACCTTTGAACAACAGCAGAACTTTCAACAGTCAACGCCCTCAGCCTATCGCTAGTTTTGTTTGTGTTCCGCTATCACAGCCTACAAATGTTTGCTGAGTATTGCCTATTGTATTGTCGCGTTGAGAATGTGCTGGGTCAGGCCTCAAGTCGGGTTGTGATTGGGCTGGACAAGGCTCGGGTAACCATTTGTTTAGGTTGGGATATGCTGTAATTGCTGTCCAAGTGGGTATCTTTTGATGTAGCACCTAATATTTCTCTCCACAAAGTTAGCCAGTGCAAGAAGGGGCAGTACATTTTGGTTAAGAGTCAGTAACCAATCTGTCAAGTTCATGGCTCTGCCCCTTTTTTCTCGCTTTGACCAACACTTAAGTCCTATTAGTGCCAGAGAAAGCCTGTACAGAACCCTACGATGAAAAATTGATGTGTTATAAAACATCAAAAGGCATGACTTTTTTGGCATTGGTCTTGGTTGTTTGTCCAAGTCCATGATCTTAAAGTATTCTCTTTGCTTTGTTTTTTATACATTTTTCATACTATCCATTAGCCCAACAGTTGTTTCATCTGTTGGCGTTCCACCCCATTACATATGACCGAATGTTCCATAGCATCCCTGTTCACCACTGCCAACGCACATAGTCTCCATAGTTACGCGGCATCTCCAAGCTTACAGTTCCTCAGAGCGGATCAGGTGGAAGAGGGTGACGTTGTAGAGCACCTGATGGCCGTTGTTCCAGGCATAGAGGGCGCGGTCCCGAGGATTGTAATCCAACATGGAGATGTGCGAGTATTTATTCTGCAGCGCGATGTCGATGTACTCGTAGGTGGAAGAGTTGGTGTGGTAGGCGTAGTAGACCTTCGTCCCTCCGGAGTAGCCGTTGGTCACGTAGAGTGTCCCACAGATCATGAAGGACTCCCCTGCGCTGCGCTTCGGGTGGTTAGTCGTCCACGTCTTGATGATCTGCAATGTGATTGGGTTGAGCTTGCTGATGACCATGTTACCTGCATTTTGATTGGTGGCGTAAACGGCCCAGAGCCCACCCTCATCTGCCATTAGGTCGATGTCGGAGTGGCCGCCCCAAGCGTAGTGGTACGCGTTGCTGAACCCTGCGTTATCCAGCCTCTGGGTCTTGCTGATGGTGGAGGTCTTGAAGTCAAACTTGATGATGACGTGGCTCTGGAACTTGTTGAAGTAGATGGAGCCGTTGTAGACCACCTGACCTGTCCCAGACCACGGGTGTGGCAGCCGGTGGGATGTGAAGTTATCTGACGTCATGAAGTCCGCCATCGACCGATACTCCCGCACAAAACGGTTGTTGTGGTAACCATCCATGTACCACACCTGCGTAGGAAGACAACAGAAAAAATGGGTACATTTTGAGAAAGTGGGAGAGAGCAAAATAAGGCTGGCTTTACATGGTATAACCGTCATACAGTTTACACGAATCTCATTTCACGAATGCAGTTCATCTGAAACTTGTTTGATACACAATCGCAATAGTTCTGACAATATTTCTGAGACGAGCTTTAAGAAAGAGCCGAAGAAAAGGGTCCTTTCTGTGTGGAGTCTGCATGTTCTCCCCGTGTCTGCATAGGGTTTCCTGCCACAATCCAAAGACATGCTGTCAGGCCTTGGATATGCTGAATTGCCCCAAGGTGTGAATGTGTGTGTGAATGTATATGTCTGTTTGTCTGCCCTGTGATGGACTGGTGACCTGTCCAGGGTGTATCCTGCCTTCTGCCCAATGACCGCTGGGATAGGCTCCAGCACCCCCCGTGACCCAGAAGGATAAGCAGCTTAGAAAATGTGTGTGTGTGTTGGTAGTAGGGCTACAAACGCAAATAAATAGGCTTACAAAAATGAATAAATATATGTTCAGTTCCTTAAAAAGCTCCTCAGGGTGATGCACATTTCTTCTCACATTTTACCATAAAGTCTATCCATTTTAGACACAACCTTGAGAATGAGAATAGTCATTAACTTTTTTGTGTACATGAGTGCTTTTCTAATTGGCCATTTTGCCTACTTGACTTGTTCTGGACATGGGGGAGCACGGTTCAAACCCAGCACAGGGAAGCAGTCGGGCTCCTAATGATATGTTCCTGCCAACCTAATAACGGCACTGTGAGTGTGAGGTAATTTGCTGATCTGTCATTGCAGCCCTTAACGATGTGTTTATCATGAAAACTCATATTGCGATAACAACAAAAGTCCGATTTTTATTGACGTTGCCTTAGCCTCAAGTGAGACCTCTACACAGACATGCTCTAACACTGAAGTTAGACAGTCAGATTCGTACAGCAGTATATTTGCCAGACAGGACACAGAAAACTCCAGATAAACAAACACCAGGGCAATGAATCAAGCTCAGTCCGGCAGCGTTTAATCGGCCTCTCTTCGCTCCTCGCTGTGGTGTCTTGCTGTCGGGTTTCGCGCGTTTATTGGCACACCACGGCCAGATTTTCTTGCTGGAAATGAAATCCCAGCTGCAGTGGAACTCGATTAAATCTCGCCGCCTCGGGGACCGTCCCGCTCCCGCTGTGGGAGGGGCCTGGCGGTGGGCCGGAGCGCCGCCAGAACCCGGAACCCCGTGAGGATAATTCCAGATCATTCCGGATAAAAACCCAGCTCTCTGTGGAGAATGCCAGCAGGGCCCAAACCCCTGCGTCTCGGAAATAGACAGAGGATGGGAGGGAGGGGGAGGAGGGAGAGATGGAGATAGACAGAGAGAGAGAACAGAGGAAGAAAGATGACAGAAAAAGGAAGGAGTGCAAAAGGAGAAAGGAAAAGCTTTCTCCTGGCTGGCTCTCTTTTTGACCACCTTAGGAAAGCACTGTTAACCCCACCACATGCACACAATCCTCCCCGCTCATATAGCCTACAGGCTCATCTATCATTCATAAAGGCCTACTTCCGTCACAGAAAGCAGAGAGAGAGATAAATCTCACCAAGAGCAGCCCCTAGTCCTACACAGGATGCCACACGTGAGCAGGGTACCCAATTACGACCTGTTGTTTGTGCAGAGGTGGGTACACTCTACAAATGGCTGGGCTGATTTTCTACCCAAACGCTGGGTCGAGCCTGTTGGGTTATTTTGTTGGGTTATTTCTAGGACTTTTTGGGTACCCCAGCTTTTGGGTTAATGACTGTTGCAATGAGAACCAAGCTAAAGGTTAGTGTTCAAGCCATAACAGTACCAGAATAGAGTCGTCAATAAAGGTCATCAAAGGTTGGTTAAATGGTTATCAATGACTAGTCGTAGCATTAAGATTTGAAGATCTGTACGATTGCAAGGGCCCAGAACAGACAGCGTCCCACAACGATTGTATCTTTGTTTATTCATTTATTTGCATGTGATTTTTCAGGTGTGATTAAAAAAAAAAAACATAAAAACATAAATTAGGCTTTCAAAAACCAAAGAACAGCAAAAAACATTACCCTGTGTTTGGGAGGTAAAAACTATATGCTTTGAAAAAGAACTCTTTGTTAATAGAGAGAAACCTGATGCTACCTTATGCTCTTAAGAACCTTATGCTACAGTACCTGCAGTTGTTAAATGGAAATGATGCAACAGAGCTTTGAAAACAAACCCCCAATGTTCTACTACACTGTTAGAAATAAAGGTTCTGTGCAAGTACATTTTTTTGTTTACTAAGGAACAAACAATGTAAATGTTCCCAAAACAGTGGTTTTAAGGTCTGATTGTGAACCTTAAATACCTTAAAGTTTTCCAGGTGAAAAGTTTGTATTTGTACCTTTTCATAACCGAATGTTTTAAAACAGAACAGTAAAATAAAAGCCTGGAGACGAGACGGGGTGTGTGGAGTCAGTACAGCTTAGAACATATCATTTCAGTGGATTATGGTACAGTTATGTTCCCTGACTAAAGGTACTGAGATGTACCCTTGAGGGTCCCACCCCAGTAACAGTTTCCTACCATTTTTGCTAAGAGTGTACAAACATGCCATTTTTAAGTTTTTCCCTCATTAATCAACAGTAAAACATACCCTCCGTTCTTGTGTTGTCATGTTCTCTCAACCATGGAAATCTAAAAGTTTAAACTTAGAAGTGAAGGCGAAGTTGAAAGTAGTCCGGTGTGGTTCTTCAAGGCTTCTACAGTAAAGGGAATGGTTCTGTTTAGAATCACCATTCATGCTTAAATCGTTCTTTGCATGGTGAAATGGTTCTTTAGCTTGATGGAGAATGTGTTGCTATTGTTCTGTATAGAACCTTTCTAAAAACAGCCCTATATTGAACCAAAAACTTCTATTGTTACAATACTGAGAAGAGCCTAATTTGGTGCTATATAGAACCATATACAACACATTCTCCATCAATCTGAAGAAACATTTTACCATGCAAAGAATCATTTAAGCGTGATTCTAAACAGAACCATTCCCTTTACTAAAGAACCCCTGAGGAACCATCTTTTTAAGAGTTTAAGGGCACTCTCTAACCTAGTCTTCCATCTTCCAGGGTAAGTAAAGTGCAAATTAAAGCCAGAATATCTCCATAATTTTTTCACAGAATTTCATCATCTGTAGCTGATAAAGGAGTTTGTCTATGGAGATTTTAACAAGCTTTGAATAATGTATGTTTTGCTTCGACAGCCAAGATGCAGCGCTTTTCAGAAGCAGCAAACATATTCTGGTATACAGTATATGGATATGCAGTTTTGTTGGTTACGTTCATATTCAAAGATGGCTGATTATGAATATAAGCAGCAAGACTGCATGTTAGAGATGTGGTGAAAGTAAGAGTTGGAATGATGAAGCTATAAAAATTCGGGCCATTATGAAAATTTTGGCACATTGAGGAGGTGCATGGCCCCGAAATTGCGACTGGCACCCCTGAGTAATGCTTACTTAGGTACCTTTTAGATGATTGCTTGTACTTCAGCAATTATTATTTTAAATTAGCAGTGCTTCTACTTTGGCTCCCCTCCCACCTCTGTGCGCCTGTGGCTTGGCTCGTGGCTTTTGCCTTTATGATTTGTGATTGTTTCCACTTTACAATATGCTAACCTGATATTGCTCTCACTGAATATAATGTCTCGCTGTGAGGCTGTTGCAGCAGTTTTTTACGAGAGTACGTCCGTGTTTGTGTTTATGACAGTGATGCATGGCTGGGACATGATTTATGTTTTGTGTTTTTATGACTGCGGTTACGGAGCCCAGAAAAAACTCTTTCACGCAGCGCACTAAACACACTCAGCGCGTTAAGGTGTCATAAAGTGCGTCCAGCAGGCAGTTCTGCTCGCTATAACGACATGCTCGTTTGACCGCACATATCAAGCATGCAGATTTACCCTGCTCATTTGCATCTTAACGAGCATTGGGAAATGACACTCTGTCCCACGGAGCCACTGAGTGTGAATGAAGGAGGATATTCTAGAGTGGTGTGAACAAGGGACACACTTTCTAGAACAGTGTAAATAAGGTGAGGACATTCCTGAGAGAATGGGAAAACATGCTTAAACAGAGTGAGTGGGAGAACCTTCTAGAACAGTGCAAATGAAGGGGAAACTTTCTAGAACAGTGTAAATGAGGGGAGGCCATTCCTGAGAGAGTGGGAAAACATTCTTGAAAAGAGAGGGACAACATTCTAGAACAATGTGAGAGGGAAAGAACATTCTAGAACAGTGCAAAAGAGGGGAAAATGTTGTAGAACAGTGTAAATGAGGGGAGTGGAGGTCTGCACCAGCCCCCTGTGGGTGGGAGCGGGCCGAAGCACACATTAATAGAAATCCCGAAAATTAATGAATATCGTAAATAAAATAGAATGATCACCAAACCATATATATATATATATATATATATATATATATATATATATATATATATATATATATATATATATAACCAATATAAAATGATAACAGTAAAACAGTTAAAATGAGTGAAGTCATTCTAAAGAGTTAAAGCAGCCGATCACATGAACAACACGCAAAGACAGCAGAGCCACAGCTGCCCAGCAAAACACCAAAAATAACTGCTTTGTGGTTTAATTCCTGCTTTGTGTTTAAATTGTGAATAAATGGCGTTTGATGAAGTTATTCACAGCAAGCCTGATGACCATGACTGCCATGTTATTTCAGCACAGAACAATAAATTTGTGAATAGACTGTGTCAGATATTGAATGTCAATTCTCCTTGACAGGACTGTGCTGGCGGGAGCGGGATAAAACGTTTCAGTTGTGGGCGGGAGCGGGACAAATGATTGCGATTTTCTTGTTAAATGGTAATGATAATTGGTAAATAGTAATGTTAATTGTTAAAAGGTAATGATAATTGGTAAATGGTAACGATAATTGGTAAATGGTAATAATAATTGGTAAAATGTAAAGTTAGTTGTTACATGCTAATGTTAATTGTCAATTTGGTAATGATAATTATTAAATAGTGATAATAATTGTTAAATAGTAATGTTAATTGTTAAATGGTAACGTTACTTGATATATGCTAATGTAAATTGTTAAATGGTGATGTTAATTTTTAAATGGTAATATTTTTAAATGGTAGTCTTAATTGTTATATGCTAATGTTAACTGTTAAATGGTAATGACAATAGCAATGTGGTAATGATGATTGTTAAATGGTAATGTTAATTTGTGATTGGCTGAGTAGAAATGCGATACAGCTACACACATGCTGATAACATAATAAAGCTAAAATATGAACAATGAAAGAAAGTAGAAAAACATGCAGTTTTTGTCAGGAGCTGGTTGGATTGTGGATATAACTGATACCACATTGATAAGTTCCACACTTGTTCACCCTTTTTCATTAGTTGGTGCAGCACTTTACCCCAGGAGTATTTCTGCTTCTCTTCTGTAGCTCTGATTCAGGCGATTCTTTGTCAAAGCACTGGCACTTAGACAGGTGCTCATGCTTTAGCTTATTTACAAACCAGTTTTGACTAGCTTTCACAGAGTACACATTACACATTCAAAGTTATACATTTATTTTTTTTTACATTTCTGAATAATTTATTGTGTGAGATGTAAACAGAGTGATTCAGAGTGTTTTGGTGTAAAATAGTTCAGATGTCTTTACAGTGGTGGTGATAGGAACCAGGGGTTGCCATGACTACAACACAAATATAGACATTTTATTTACTATCCAGAACCACCAGTGAACCTACACGAGTCTTCTGAGTTTATATGGAATGTTGATGATGGAAAATAGTGTAAAATCTGAAATAATACCTTTTCTTTGGGGGCTATTTAGCCTTAAAACTCCATGCATGTATCACCCCAACATGAATGGATTTTGAGGCCAAAATCGTCTCTAAACCATCATAAAACAGTGTCTCAGTCATCAGGCAGTGAATTCATAACCATTTCATGTAGTAACTTTCACACTGTGTCTGAAAGTGCAGCTGTGTATGTGGTGTACTCACTCTGGTATCTCCCTCTGGAGCCAGTGGGTCAGTCATCCAGGATCCAAAGCGAGATCCAGATGTTTTAACGGTGATGGGGTCACTGATGCCCGTCAGCTTTCCACATGCTGCAAACACAGACACACACACGTTAATTATGACAGGACCCCCACTGCCCCTCAGCTTAACACATGCTCAAAAATGCACAATTACAGAGCACTGTACAGTAGAGGTTAAAATAAATCCACTAGTGGGCGCTGTGGGAAGCAGTCTACAAATCGAGGACAGTGCTAAAGGACTGCACAGGGTTGATTTTTAATGCTTACATGTCTGCAGTGGTCAGCTCTGACTATTAGAGATAGGGCTTCAATTTGCGCCATGAGGGGAGGACATTCCTGAGAGAATGGGAGAACATTCTTAAACAGAGTGAGTGGAAGAACATTCTAGAACGATGTGAATGGGAAAGAACATTCTAGAACAGCGCAAAAGAGGGGAGAACCTTCTAGAACAGTGTAAATGAGGGGAGAACCTTCTAGAACAGTGTAAATGAGGGGAGTGGAGGTCTGCACTCCCACCACACTATCTTGCGGCACAGGACTAATTTTCAGTGTTGTGTGCGGGAGCGAGTGGGAAACCAGCCCCCTGCAGGTGGGAGCGGGCTGAAGCACACATTAAGAAAAATCTCGCAAATTCATGAATAGCCTAAATAAAGTAGAACGAGTCATTTGTCCTGACTCCAATTTTTGATAAAATCTTGCAGGAACGGGCGGGAGCGGGATTTAAAAAAACAGTCTCACGCAGACCTCTAGAGGGGAGGAAATTCTTGAACAGAGTAAAAGGGGGAACATTCTAGAACAGTGTGAATGAGGGGAGTACATTCTAGAACAGTGTGAATGAATGGAGAACAAGAACCTTCTAGAACAATGTAAATGACAGGAGAACATTTTAGAACTATGCAAATGATGGTAGAACATTCCAGAATATTTTCCTCATTACCCTCATTACTCCTGCCTGTTAATTGTTAAATGGTAATGTTAGTTGTATAACGATTAACATATTCACAGTCAGTCACGTATCTAGAACTTCCAGGAGAACTAGAGTGCCGTTTTTTTTTTCTCACAAAATTGGTCCCACCCATTGGAAATCAAATGATCGGTTGATTCCTCTATCACTTCATAATTATGCTGATAGTTAATCTAACACTTCAGGCCTTCTCTTCAGCTCCTGAAGTCCTAACCAATAGGAGAGCTTGCTTAGCTGTGCATACATAGATAACACAGAAAAAACAATTCCTGATTGGCCAGTTTTTAGCTCACCATTTCAGGAATTTAACCATTTTGTTTGTGTCCTATACTTAACAAAGAATCAAGAGCAGTACTGTAACTCTTAGACATCATGACTACTTAGAAGACCCCGAGAGTTCCCCTCTGCATGTCTGCTGACAGAGAGTCATCCTTGCCCACTCCCACCCATCATGCCCACCCACACCCACCTACTTTGGGCTGAGGTTCTCATCCACACCAACCTGCGTTTAGCCTTTGTAATCCACACCACTGGAATAGTGCTGCCCACACAACTGCCCACTGCCTCCGGACTACACCTCCATAAACCAGCCCAAAAATAAACATCTCAATGCTTAAACATAGAAGTAAATATTTTGTGCATGTTTATACTAAAGAAAACCAAGAGAAATCACACATAGCACCTGGCTAGCACCGGACAATGCCTAAAACAGACTCCAGTGCACAGTGGACAGCCAAAGCCAGCTTAAATTCTGAGTGAGAGGTGAGATTATGAGGGCTGTCAGTGATTTTAGCGTGCAGTTTACATCAGACAGTCAGTGTACTCTGCGTGCAGAGTGACCGAGACTGGAACCCACAGTCATATTTTGAATTTTTTATGGTAATGACAACTTTTTCATCATGGAACCCCAACAATACACTGTACTAGACCCACATTCCTCATTCTAAACATCGATTTTGATGTGTATACCTGCTGTGTGTGCAGGGTGGGGGGTTATATTCACTATTCACTGATAAAAGTGGGTAATATTAAGGAAAACATTGCTGTTCTGGACCCTTTATTATTGCACCACAGCTAAATGAGCCCTGACTGGGGTGTTTATCTCATTTTCGAGAATGGAAGCCATCGATAATAGGCTTTAATTGGCAAATGTGCTCCAGATATAAGGAGAAAGAGAGAAAGCAATACTTCCTGTAATCGTTCTCTCAGACCAGGGAAACACAAAACACACCCACTCTGTTCATTAAGAAGATGTGTGCACTGGAGGATGTTTTCCCTTCTTCTAATTTCTCTCTCTGTCTGCCTCCCTCTTGTTTCTTAATTAATGAAATACAATTTATCTTTAGCCCATTAAGTGGTGGGTGAGGCAGCTCACTCTCTCCTTCCTCCATTCTCTCACTGCCTTCAGCTCAGAGCTTTTGGCTGTTAGAACACAGAGAGAGAGAGAGAAATGGGAAATCATGACTTTTGCCCTTCTCTGTTGAAGAAACAGTCTGAACAGAGGAAAAAAGCAAGGGAAACAAAAGAAAAAGCAAAAAAGAAAAAAAAGAAAAGAAAAAGGAAAGGAAAAAGGAGGGAAAGCAAGAACAGGAGGAATAAAGGAAGGAAGAAAGAAGCAAAGAAAGAAAGGAGCAAAAAGGAAAACATTAAAATAAAAGAAAAAAAGGAAGGAAAGAATGAATGGGCGGAATGAAGGATGAACGAAAGAAGCAAAAAAGGAAAAATGAAAGAATAAAAAAGAAGAAAAAGCAGGAAAAGAAAGAATGGGAGGAATAAAGAAAGCAGCTAAGAAAGAAATGAAAGAAGGAAAACAAGAAAGAAGGAAAGGAGCAAAGGAAAAACAGAAAGACGGAAAGAAATAAGGAAAAGAGGAACAGAAAAAGAAAGAAAAGCAAAAAAGAAAAACTGACAGAATAAAAGAAAGAAGCATGAAAATGAGGGAAAGAAGGAATAGGAAGCATAAAGAGAGAGAAAGAAAAGTAAAACAGGAAAAAATGAAAGAAGCAAAGAAAGAAATGAAAAAAAGAAATGAAAGAAGGAAGACAAGAAAGAAGGAAAGAAAAATAGAAAGACTAAGAATAACACCAAGAAAGAAGGAAAGCAAGGAGAAATAAAAGAAAGAAAGAGAGAAAGAAAGAAAGAAAGAAGCGAAAAAGAAAAATGAAAGAAAAAAGATGAAAAAGGAGGGAAAGAACAAATAGTAAGAATAAAGGGGGAAAGAATGAAGGAAAACAAAATAAAAGAAAGAAGAAAAGAAGGACAAGAAAGAATGGGAGGAACAAAGGAAGAAAGAAAGGAAAGATGGGACACAGGAAGGTAGAAAAAAGGCAAATAAAAATAGAAAGATTAAGAAAGAAAAAACAAAGCAAGCAAGAAAGACAAAAGTACAGAGGGAAAGAATTAAGGAAAACAAACAAGTAAAGAAAGAAGCAAAAAGGAAAAAAGGAATTATGAAAGAATGAAGGAAACAAAGATGGGAATAAAGAAAGAAGGAAAACTAAACAAAAGAAGGGCTCTTTTTATTTGGATAGGCTCTACAGATTATCTACAGAGGGTCAGACTATAAACAAACTATCTGGTCACTTCTCACAGGAATAGGATTAAGATTAGGTTTAGTACTGGGGTTGAGGGTCAGGTTAAGGTCAGAGTTAATGGTTTATGGTTATGAAGAATTAACATGAATTTTATTGATATTTGGTTAAATGTGAGTTAAAGGAAAGTTGAGCCTCTGTGAAGAATCTGCAGAAGACAATCTAAATAAGCCGTTAACAGAAAGAAAATGGAACAAAGAAAGATGAAAAAGAGAGAGAAGTGCCACTCACTCTGTCCACCAGAGTTTCGGGGCAAATGTGGCTACGCTAATTGTGCTGCTATCTTTAGAAGCTTCTCAGTGGCAGAAAGCAGGTTAGACGAGTGTAAACAAGCTATAAAACTCACTTCTACTCACTGGATACTTTATTAGACACCTCAGCAATTTAAGACTCGACTCAGATTCAAACCCTGAAGACTCAAGGTTTGACTTGGAATCACACCTCAGAGACTCCTGACTCAACTCGGACAGGCACACCGGAGGCTTGACTTAGACTCGCACCTCAGAGACTTGACTCACACTCACCCCAGAGACTCCGGCCTTGCCCCTAGAGACTCTAGACTTGACTCAGTCTTGGACCCCAGAGACTCCAGACTCTGACTCACTTCTCAGATACTCAACTCACAATTAGACTCGCATTTCAGAGACTCAACTCGGACTCTCATCCCAGAGATTCGACTCAGACTTTCACCCCAGAGACTCTAGCCTTGCCCCAAGAGACTCTAGACTTCACTGAGACTTGCACCCCAGAGACTCAAGACTCTGACTCACTTCTCAGAGACTCAACTCCAAAATAGACTCGGAGTTCAGAGACTCAACTCGGATTCGCACCTCAGAGACTCAACTCCAACTCTCATCCCAGAGATTCGACTCAGACTCTCACCCCAGAGACTCTGGCCTTGTCCCCAGAGACTCTAGACTTGACTCAGACTTGCACCCCAGAGACTCTACTTGGACTCACACCTTAGATACTCAAAACTTGATTTTGACTCACACCTCAGAGGCTTGGCTTGGACTCACCCCAGACAGTTGAAACTTAGACTTGAAATGAAATGAAATGAAAGAATCTATCCAGAGACTCAGACTTGCACCCCAGAGACTCAGACTCACATGAAACGAGCTGTGAATATCTGTTTTAAATTTCAGGTTTTCCCTCTGTGGTTATTTAAGCTACAGTAAATTAGGCTGCTGGTTGTCATCTCTATCATGATGTCTCTGGCACATAATGCTTACTAGCTCCCTCCACCTGTAACCAGTTCCCCCCCGCCTTAATGAAACTCTGGCTATGCCGCTGGTGTGTGAAGTTTTATATAAAGTCGTGCTGGCGTCATAGAGATGGGAAAACGCTGAGAAGATAACAAGAGTGGGGAGACAGAGAGAGCGAGAGACTGTGGGCATCAGCTTCTTCAGTCTTTTATCTGGCTGAGAGTCATTAACACTGCAGACAGGTTAATCCAGTGGATTAGTGTGTGGATGTGTGAGTCTCACGTACATCAAAGGCAGCTGTGGCAGCTGTGTGTGTGCACATGCCATGCTTTCCTTTGATTAGTCAAAGTTCGTTAATGAGTCTCTGATTTGAAAATGGCTGACTTTAGATTGGAATGTCACAGCCAGTCGAGCTTAATATCTGGAAGAAGATTAAATTTGTCATGCCGCTGGCCTGCAGCATTAAGCCTTAAAGCTTCATTTAGACTCCAAGATCAATGTGTTTTGATATCAGTTCAGCAGGTTTTTGAAGGGTTGCAGACAGTGCTTTATCTCTGATGGATATTATAGTCACTCGTGTTTACTAGGATGTCCTAATCCAGTCTCAAAGACGATGGCATATTTTAACGGATCTGTATTAATCCAGATGATGTTCCAGTTGTTAATGCTATTTTACCTTGTTGTACTACATTTAGGCTTTGTTAACATAGCAGGTAAAAGTGGCCCAAATCTTTTTCTTCATATGTCAAAAGCCAAGAATGACGAGAGACACACAGACCTTTAATTCAGTGTTTTCACTCCAGGCTTGGAGCCCCTGCACTGTATAGTTTAGTGTTTCTCTGCTGTTCACACCTTGTTCAGCTCAAGAAGGGATTAATTAGCTAATAATATCAGGTATTTTAACCAGGAAACCACAGTTATGCAGTGCAGGGGTTTCAGGACTGGAGCTGAACTCTGAACTAACTGCACTAACAAACTTACAGAATCACGTCTGTCGAAAGATGACGTCGTTTTCTGACCCACGACATTCAGTCTGATATTTAACGCTTATGTTTCTCCATTCAAACCTCATTTAAATCTCCAGAAACAGAGAGTAAAGTTATACCAGCTGTCTGCAGCTCCGTTAGGGGGACGACTGTTCATCTCTCGGCTGATAACATCAGCTAAAGTTATCTAAAGGCCAGCATTGTTCACATCTGTGTTAATTATGAACTAAAACTATGATGACAGTGATTTTTCTCCTCTTTATGAACACCATGGGCTCCTTTACCCACCCTGACATGAAGAGCCGGTGGGCTTCTGTGCTTTTAAATGCTTTGACAGACTCTCCAGAATAGGGAGAGGGGTTGTGTATGAGATAAATATTGATGTCCAGAAAACACAAATTTGGTATCTTTCCGCCAGTTTAAGTGGGACCAGGAGTTCAGGGGGGAAACTGACACAAGATCACAGCCTATTTTATCGACTTTGTAGAGGTAACATAAAGAAAGGTGAGTAAGTTTAGTGAAGCCAGAAATTTGTTCCCAAATATGGCAGCCACAACAGAAAAATCACGTGACGGAAACCCTAGAATAGGTCGTGCCCTAGCACTTAGTAAAACAGCAGAAAACCTGTTAACTCAAAAGTTGCTCATTATAGAAGCCAATGAGCTGTTGCTTTGGGGCAGAAAGAGATTGAGTTAGGATTCCTTTAAGGTACTGTATAGACATCTCCTCTCCTACCGAGTTTCTGCATGCACGCCCGGAGTCTCTCCTCCAGACTGGAGACGCGGGAATGAAGCTCGTCATAGTCGTAAGCTCCCATCTCCTCCTGCAGGTGAGCCAGGCTGGTTGTCAGGTTCTGCACCTCCTGTTTGAACTGCAGCACCAGCCGTGCGTCCGCCTTGTACTCTTCCAGCACAGGGATCAGCGGCCGTATCTCCGCCATCTTCGCCTTTATGGCCTGCAAACACGCCACAGAGTGCGCTCAGTCCCCTGCAGGGCTGTAAAGCCCACTCAGATATGCACACAGCAAGTGGGACCATGCTAGACGTGGTGCTCTGTCTCCAGCAAACCTGCACTAATCCTACTCTCTTAACTGCTTTAATGTGTATGTGTGCCTGTTAGGGCTGCACGATATGAACAGAATGTTACCACCATTGTATTGCAATTTTGATATGTTTTGTGATATATTAACCTTTTACTGCATAAACATTTGTCTTGCTGAAAATGACATAAATTAAAAAAAATTAAAACACTGAAAAAATGTTACATTTTGTTGCCATATGGCCCTTATGTGCAACAGTGAAACTAAAATCTGTAATGCATATAGTCTGAGTAAACCAATACAATGGATATACAATATAGTCACAGTCACTTTCCAGGCATGGAATAACAGCCAAATATGCATAAATGTTTTAAAAATACAGAAAGGAATCATTATGTTGCCATAGGGCAACAGTTCTATTTTATTGCTTTATATAAACCCTTTTAAATCTATGTCACATATCAGCATGTAAACAATATTGGATACTCCATAGGCTTTTAATCTAAGCTTTATCTGCTGCATCTGCACTGCACAGTCAATTGCAACTTTTTTATGTTTCTGTGCACTTAGTAGGGCTGGACTCATATCAGTTTGCTGATAATATCAGTCAATTTTGACAACCCACAGTTTTAGCAGCATCGGCAAAAATATACCTGATAACTAGTTCATTATCAGCATGTTCATGTACTTATACTGTGTGCATCGCAGCTTCAGGTTCCATTGTTGCATGCTGTTGCCATAAGGCAACAATTCTATTTTGTTGCTTTATAAGAAGCCCATTAAATCAATGTCACATATATCAGCATGTAAACAATATTGGATACTTCATAGGCTTTTAAGCTTTTTCTGCTGCATCTGCACTGCACAGTCAGTTGCTACTTTTTTCTACTTGTTTTTATGTTTCTGTGCACTTAGTAGGGCTCGACTCAGTTTGCCGATAATATGAGTTGATTTTGACAACCCGCAATTTTATCAGTATCAGTATATAGCTAATAACTGGTTCATTATCATTTCATGTACTTATATGAATTTCATATAAGCAAAAGCATTTATATGCAGTTCATGCACTTATATTGGGTGCATCGCAGTTTGAGGTTCCATTGTTCCATGCTGTTGCCATATGGCAACAATTCTATTTTATTGCTTAATATGAAGCCCATTAAATCTATGTCACATATATCAGCATATAAACAATACTGGACACTCCATAAGTTTTTAATAATAATTTTAGGGCTTTATCTGCTGCATCTGCACTGCACAGTCAGTTGCTACTTTTTTCTACTTGTTTTTATGTTTCTTTGTACTTAGTAGGGCTCGACTCTTATCAGTTTGCCAATAATATCAGTCAATTTCAACAACTCGCAATTTTATCAGTAGCAGTATATTGCTGATAACTGGTTCATTATTATTTCACGTATTTTGCATTTATATGCATTTATATGCATTTCATGCACTTATATTAGGTGCATCGCAGTTTGAGGTTCCATTGTTCCATACGGTTGCCATATGGCAACAATTATATTTTACATTTTATCTAAAGCCCATCAAATTCAAACTGGGTTTATTTATGAAAAAGAAGTTAATGTAGTTTGTGTTTACATATGTTGTTGTGTACTAATGTTAAATGATGCACACTGAGAGGGCTTTGGAGGCCTGGCCTTTTCATGTGATGAAAAAAAAAGATGCACAAACTGCATGTGATCAATAAGGCATGTGATCAGATAAACTTCTACTATGTTACTTAGAAGGCCTTAAGTTTCCCAAAGATAAAAAAAAATATTCAGACTTTTTACTGTAGTGAGGCAAAAACTTTCAAAAAACTAATTGTTGCCATGTGGCAACACCATGCAGTAAAGGGTTAAAACTACCTTAATGTGATACGACTAAAGATTGTTTGATCAAAATTGTTTTAACCAAAATTCTTTGCATTTCTTGGATCATGTGAACACCTAGATTCTTCAAAGCACCCACAGAACATAATTTGCAATATCAGTACTGTTGAGATTAACAGCCAATAGAATGCGCAGCCCTACTGAATGTATATATGTTTCAACTTGAAAGGGTCAGTTTAAAGGTGTGAGTTAAGTGTGCAAGAGAATGTAGTGCATGGATTTATGTATAGGAGAGCCATTAGGAGACCAGAAGCCAAACTACGGCAAAAGCTCTAGCTATCGGTAAAAAAAAAACGCTTGGAACACGTTGAACAATTGGGAAAATCACTTTATTGGTTTTCATGGATTCAAACAGCAAAGGCGAAACATGCTCATTTGACATGTTACACACAACAACGTGGCTTTCATCTATATTCCATTATCGTTAAAGCGTTTTAAATTCCAGTAACCAAATATTGCAGAGAGACAAAATGAATAGCAACGTAAGCAGTTAGCAACTAGGAATCATCGTAATTATGATAACAGCAATATTACTACAAATGAAATAAGAATATGTAATAAGAATATGTAAATGAAACCTAATGAAGGATTTAGAGGCGCATGCAGGGAGGGATCTGATCGGTGGTTCGATAAGGAGGAGGAGGGGAGGGGGTTTATCTTACAGTTTAATGGTGTATAATAGAATACGAGAACTGTGACATAAACGGCGTGACTGACGCCCACTTCAGCCAATCGTGGGTTAGACCTGCCTCTTCTGGCCTCAGGCTCTCCTATAATGTCTTTATAGTTAGCCCTGCAAGCAAGAAACAACAAACTGAGTACAGGAAGCTAGCTCGCTAACCTGGCTAACACACACCCTCACACACTCGCACGCACACCAACACACACGTCTTCAAGCAAACTGAGGTTAAAAGCACAGAGAGTCACAGAATTACATTCGTGGCAAGCGGCAGGTCAGTGCACTTTGAGTTAGCATGCATGCATGCAGTGGAAAAGAACAGCTCAGTGAAAAATGCTAACGTTGGTACCAGCAGGTAGCAGACGAGCTCGGAAGCCACCAATTAGCATGAAATCATTCAGCTAGAAGCAGTTAGCACGACGTCACTGGCCTCATGCTAAACGGTGCCTGACAGCGTCCACACATAGCCACGTTAGCATGTTTGCTTGAGCTGTTTCTTTAAGATATCACTGTGTTAGTGTGCTAATGTGCCTCGTATCATAGTGCCTGCGTATCATAAAGTGTGCGGTGGTATGCTAGCACGCTAGCCGTGAGCTAACCATGCCTGAGTAGGACGGGTCAATGTGATTAGCTAAAAGGGCAGGACACTGGGGGACCAGGGCAAATCAGATTTTTGAAACCTTGCCCTACCATCTCAAACAGGGGTCACTCTATTCTTTATTTCGACCATCTGAATAAAGAATAGCGAACCAAAAGAGAGGAAAAGAGATTTACCGGATCCTGCGTCAGAGGCAGAAAAACAAGAGCAGTGGAGAATTTAATCTTCGCGCATTTACTGGGTTTAATTTCATTTAAGCTATCCTCAAAATAATGACTAGAATATTTAATCTAAGGTGTATGTTTATATTTTTGTATTATATTTACATTTTTTTCTAATGCTTAAGAGACATCTAGGGGTGTGCAATATGACGATATTTTCTCGTTATTGTGATACTCTGTGCCGCGATATGCTCTTCCGATACAAAAATGATTGTATTCATAGTCTTTTATAGCATTTTCAAAGGGAAAAACTGGGAAAGCTTCAAGAGATGACTTGCTCTATATTTATTAGGCAGTGATCAGGCAAAGTAACACCAACCGTTACCGTTTCTGGCACCTAATGGCAGCGTAATAGTGCTGTATGATATTATTTCTGGTCGTGTTCCAGTTCAAGAGAACGAGTTCCTCCCTCAGGGGGAAGAAGGGGCGACTGGAAAAATGTGTCAAGCTGGGCTTGAGTCCAGCTCAGATCAATTCTTTTGCCCTCCATTTGCTGCTAGAAGTAGGAGTCCAGTCCAGCTGACCCCCTTCAGTTAATATTTAATTACAGCAAGTCTGGCGGAAATTTTATGACATGGCTGTTGGAGCGAATGGTAGACTAACCTCAGTCTCTCCGGAGTCTGTTTGTGAGTGTGTGCTTGAATGCGACAGCAAACATGTTTTTTTTTTTTCCTGTATATGTGAGTACTGAAGTATGACAAGGTACTTGGTAACATGTATGTGAGCATCTGTTTGCTCTAGGGCCTGACCGATATATCGAACGGCCGAAAAGATCAGCTGATATTAATGATGATGAATTTATCGTTCTTCTTTAAAGCACCGCAACTAAAATCTGTGCTACTGTGCTATTTTACAAAGAAGACAATAACATGGAGAGTTCCACCACCTCAAACAAGATCTGAAGCTGTTTAACGAATGATTATAAAGGTATTTTTGCATGTCATTGCTTCTGCTAGTAGCTCTGCTCATTGATAACGAAAATTCATTTTAAAAATTATTTTAATCCTGTTGTCATATAAGCTTTTGTGCTCTGCCACAAGCAAGATTAGCTCTTCTGCTGCCACTGAGATGCACATTCATTTGGACTGCAAACACGACACGAGCTGTGATTGTTTAGCCTGATTTTTAACGCCTCCATACAAGGCTGAAACTCGAGCTGCCTACAGTTTGGAGTTACCCCCTTAAAATCTCAGGCTTGTTACATACTAAAGCTTATTATTCAGTAACTACAGGGACTCCAATGCAAACTGGTTGAGCTATTCTTGGGTTGTAAAAGTGTGTAATACAGCTAAGGGCCCGTCGACAGGCCCTGTCCATTTGAGGGGTAAATATCGGACCTGCTATGGATCGCCTTAACTTGGAAATACGTCACTGTACAGAAGGAAAGCGTTACGATTTCTGACTCATGCTGACTTTAATGGTAGATGAATTTATCAGTATCAGAGAAAATTACACCGATAAAACAATGATGTTTGTGGCTTGTTTTATACTGTAATCAAAACAATGCTCTAATATGAGGAAAACTGCTTGTTTATGAGGATTTCAATATGCTAATCTGTACAAAAGCTGCTCAGTTAGCAGTCACCAACTGCCTTCTTAGGCTTAGCTGGTAAACTTGGGCACAAATTATTTTTAACATAACTAAAACATGTCAAATCCATCCAAATCTAATCTACATTTACATTATGTAACACCTATTTCACACCGGATGCATGCGTGTCAATCTGGACGACGCTTGATATTTCACACCGGTTGCTGTTTGTGTCGCGTTTTCATATAGTATAAGCTACTTCCTCTACACTGTTAGAAATAAAGGTTCTGTGCAGGTACATTTTTTGTTTATCAAGGTACGAACAATATAAATGTCCCCTTAAAGGTACAACAGTGGTCTTAAGGTCCAACTGTGCACCTTAAATACATTTTACCATGTGAAAAGGTACTGATGGCATTGATAATTTGTTTAATCAGAGTAACGATAAAACACGACTGACGGATGTTTTATTTTTACACATTTTCTTGTTCAAAATGTGGTTCAAACAGAATTTAACGCCTTGAATTTTCAGCTTTGTTCTTTACGTATCAAATAAATGCAACGACAGCATTCAGGAGTCATTTTTTTGGCGGAAAGGAGTGGATAAAACAGCATAAATAGGCACATTAGCATTATTATTATTAGAGTGTTTAATTTTTGACCACATTATCTTATAACAGCTGATATTATCAGTTATTGGTATTTTTTGCTCTTCGAAATCTGTATCGTGATTTAATGTTCATATCGGTCAGCCCCAGCATGCGTGTCCGTGTGCCGTGGCGTACCTTGTATTGCTTGGCGAGGTTTTGTTTGTGGTTTTCCTCCACTTGTCTGAACTTGGTCTCCAGGCCTCTGAGCTGGTCCTCCATTCTGACCACGTACTGCAGGTCCCTCTGCGTCCGCTGGTCCAGAACCTGGATCGACTGGGTCATGTTCTGAACCTGCAAACACACACACAGTGGAATAATGATAACTGTTAATATTAGAGTTGTAAAAATGTCAGTACATCAATCAGAAGATGGTCATTCGCCAGCATCTTGGGATGTTAGGATATTCAATTATGAGTACTATTATTATAAATATGTGGTCAAAATAAAATTGTCAGTCTACTGTCTACACCGACTGCCCACTTCATTAAGTCCTTCTCCTTGTTTCTACTCTCATTGTCCACTTTATCAGCTCCACTGACCATATAGTTTCACTCTGTAGTTCTACAGTTACAGACTGTAGTCCATCTGTTTCTCTGCACCCTGTTCTTCAGTGGTCAGGACCCCCATGGACCCTCACAGAGCAGGTACTATTTGGCTGGTGGATCATTCTCAGCACTGCAGTAACACTGACGTGGTGGTGGTGTGTTAGTGTGTGTTGCACTGGTCTGAGTGGGCCAACAGCGTCCTGTGGGCAGCGTCCTGTGACCACTGATGAAGGACTAGAGGATGACCAACACAAACTGTGCAGCAGCAGATGAGCTACTGTCTCTGACTTTACATCTACAAGGTGGACCGACAAGGTAGGAGTATCTAATAGAGTGGACAGTGAGTGGACACAGTGTTTAAAAACTCCAGCAGCACTGCTGTGTCTGATCCACTCGTACCAGGACAACACACACTAACACACCACCACCACGTCAGTGTTACTGCAGTGCTGAGAATGATCCACCACCCAAATAATACCTGCTCTGTGGGGGTCCTGTGGGGGTCCTGACCACTGAAGAACAGGGTGCAGAGAAACGGATGGGCTACAGTTTGTAACTGTAGAACTACAGAGTGAATCTATAAGGTCAATGGAGCTGATAAAGTGGGCAGTGAGTGGAGATATGAGGAGGTGGACCTGAAGTGGCGTCCAGTGGTCACCAACCCTGGAGACTTTAGCTCTAACCCTAACTGACCACAACACATCAATCTAATTACTGCCTTCAGAAGTCCTTGATTAGCTGAGAGAGGCTTAGATTTGGGTTGGAGGTGAAACTGTGAAGCTGAGAATAATACAGTGATTATAATAATTACAGTAATTCATTTTCCAAGAAATCAACCAATCCTGCGTTTGTATCTCAGAAAGCTTTTAATTATACCTCATTAAAAGTACTGGCTGATGGTGTCTAAGAGTTGGACCTGCTGTTGGGAGACTGTGACGCTCTCTCTGGGTGGGCAGGTCGCCCCCCCATCACTCAGCAGAGTGCCATCCCATGAAGATGATGGTTCTCATCAGATTACAAATCAAAGTCCTTCAAAAATTAATATTCACACATTTATTTTTCCCTTAAATCAAATCTCTCTCTCTTTTTCCCTTTCTCTCTTTCTCTCCCCACCTCTTTCTCTCTCTTTCACTCTCTCCTTTTTCTTTCTTTCTGTTCCCCCTCTTTCTTCCTTTCACCGTCTCCTTCCTTTTTTGATACTCATCCTCTCTCTCTTCCCCTCTCTCTGCTCTTTCCTCTCTTTCTTTCTTTCCCACTCTCTGTCTTTCTCTCTCACTTTTTTTCTCACATTTTCTCATCTCCCTTTTCTCTCTTTATCTCTCACTTTTTCTCTCTCCTCCTTTCACTGTTACCTTTCTTCTTTGTTAATCACTTTCTTTTTCCCCTCTCTGTCCTCTTTTCTCTTTCTTTCCCACGCACTCTCTCTCACACCTTTTCTTCTTCTTCCTCTCTTCCACTCTCACATTTTTCTTTCTTTCTCTCTTCTTTTCACTGTCTCCTTTTTTCTTTATTTCTCATTCTCTCTCTTTTTCCCCTCTCTGTCCTCTTTCCTTCATTTTCCATCCATTTTTCTATTTAGTCTCTCACCTTTTCTCTTCTTTCACTCCTCCTTCCTCTCTTTCCCAATCTCTTCTCTCTCACCTTTTCTTTTTGTTCCTTTTCTGTCCCCCTCTCTCTCTTTCTCTCTTCCTTTCACTCTCTCCTTCTTTGTCTGTTTCTCATTTTCGCTCTCTTTCCTCTTTCTCTCTCTCTCCCCTTCCTTGTTCTCTTTCTTTACCACTTTCTCTTCATTGTCTTTTTCTCTCTCTTGTTTTTCTTTCTCTTTCTCTCTTTGCCCCCTCCCTCTCATTTGCATTTTTTTTCTCATGTGTTCTGCCCTGCTCTCTCATTTCTTTCTCCCTTTCTCTCTCTGTCCTTCTTCTCTTTCTATCTCCCCTTTTCTCTCTCTTTCTCTGTATATAAATATATATCCCCTGTCTCTCCCTCTCTGATTGCATTATGTTTTGTTTTTATGTGATGTCATCCTGGGGGATCTCATTAGCTCTACGAGTTCATGTAAATGTGGGTGTGTGTGTGGTTGTGTGTGTGTGCGTGGTGAGAGAGCACGGTGCTCTTCCTGGCGAGGTCAGGCTCGTCTCTGGAGAGCGAGGTTGACCCGGTGATGCTGGTGTCTGATCATTCTCTCTGAGATGTGTGACAGCTGGCAGAACGGAATCGGGTTATTGGGTGAAAGGTCACGCGCGGCAGTGGTGCGGAGGCGGTCGCCATGGTTACCTTCTCCAGAAGCTGCCGTAGCTGCTTGGTGCGAGCATCCCTGGAGCACATGGTCTGCTGCGGAGCGACGACCGTACAAACACACCTGCCCTCGCTGTCCTGCGCCGAGCTGTACACCTGCCACGATTCCTCCGGATTAGCAGGCAACACCTGAGAGAGAGAGAGGGAGAGAGAGAGGGAGAGAGAGAGAGGGAGGGGGGAGAGAGAGGTAGAATGAAGAGAGAGAGAGGGAGAGAGAGAGAGGGAGGGGGGAGAGAGAGGTAGAATGAAGAGAGAGAGAGAGAGAGAGAATAGAGAGAGAGAGAGAGAGAGAGAGAGAATAAAGAGAGAAAGAGAGAGAGAGGAAAGTAGAGGTGTAAGTATTGATTAGCTTCATCCACAGTAACGGATCCAGAATGCGCTCTGACTTAAAACCTGTTTTGTTTGTACTGTAGTCCATGTTTATAGATGACAGACTGTCATACAGTGTAAAAAACTACATAATCACGTCTATTAGAGATACTGAACACTCCACACGCTTTGAGATGAGGTGAAATATGACAATATTTATTATTATTGTTTTAAACTTTGTCACAGTAACATGTCTTTCCGATCTAACGTGTCTTTCTGATCACGTCATCAGCACTGAAAGAACACGGAAGATCTCATCCTGTTTAACTGGATTTAGCGCAGTGTGTTTATACTTGCTGATGGCATCTGAAAGCATTATTGACGCTTTTATGTCTGTTCCAACTTATCAAATCTCAGAAAACCTAAATATTGAGATTCATATCGTGTCATACTGTTGTGTTATGTTTGAACCTATCGCCCACCCTTAGTTGAACAGTGTTTGATTATTTCTGGCATGCAGTTAGCATATTGATGGGCTTTCATTACGTGCTAGCCACAATAGCATCACAGCTCTAGTGCAAAACTATAGAAGCAAAAACATTTCTTAGCTGCATGTGGGATGAGGGTGTAGTGTAACCATAGAGATGCAATGGAATTGGCTGTAGCACAGCCATGGAAATGTCTGTAGTGCAACCATGGAAATCATTGAAACATAGCCAGGAAAGTGTGGTAGCGTAGCCATGGAAATGTTTGTAGTGTAGCCATTGATACGGTTGTAGTGTAACCATGGAAATGGTTGTAGCATAGCAATGGGAACTGTTGTAGTGAAACCATGGAAATGGTTGCTGCACAACCATGAAAATGGATGTGGCATAGCAATGGAAATGGTTGTAGCGCAACCATGCAAATAATTGGAGCATCGCAATAGCATAACTATGGGACTGTTGTAGCGCTACTATGGAAATGGGTGTAACATAGCTATAGACATGGTTGTAGTGTAATTATGGAAATGGTTGTAACTGTAGAAATGGTTGTTGCGTAGCAATGGGAATGGTTGTAGTGTAGATATAGACATGGCTGTAGTGTAACTATGAAAGTGATTGTACTATAGCCAGAGGAATGGTTGTAGTGTAACCATGGAAATGATTAGAGAAGTGCAATGGAAATGGTTGTAGTGTAACCATGGAAATGATTAGAGAAGTGCAATGGAAATGGTTGTAGTGTAGCCATGGCAACAGCTGTAGTATAGCGATGGAAATGGATGTGGCATAGCAATGGAAATGGTTGTAGGGAAACCATGGAAATATATGGAGCGCAGCAATGGAAATGGTTGTAGCGTAACTATGGGAATGTTGTAACGTTACCATGGAAATGTAACATAGCTATAGACATGGTCGTAGCATAGATATAGACATGGGTGCAGTGTAACTATGGAAATGGTTGTAATGTAGCTAGAGAAATGGTTGTAGTGTCAGCATGGAAATAATTCGAGCATCGCAATTGAAGTGGTTGTAGCATAACTATGGGACTGTTGTAGTGTTACTATGGAAATGGGTGTAGTGTAGCAATGGAAATGTTTGTATCTGTAGAACCGGTTGTAGCGTTGATGTAGACATGGGTGTAGCGTAACTATGGAAGTGGTTGTAATGTAGCCAGAGAAACGGTTGTAGTGTAACCATGGAAACACTTGTCGCAATCGCAAGGAGTGTCGCAATCGAAATGGTTGTAGCCTAACTATGGGACTGTTGTAGCTTTACCATGTAAATGGGTGTAACGTAGCTAAAAACAAGGTTGTAGCTTTACTATGGAAATGGTTGTAGTGCAGCAGTGGAAATGATTGTAATATAGCTAGAGAAATGGCTGTAGCGCAACTACGGGAATGTTGTAGCGTTACCATGGAAATTGCTATAACATAGCTATAGACATGGCTGTAGCATAGCAACGGTAAATCATTGAAGTGTAGCAATGGAATTGGTTGTAGCGTAACCATTTTGTAACGTAACCTATTGATCCATTTATCAGTGGTGTAGTTCCACTTCTCTGCTATTACTCTGTTTCTATCATCCACATCGCCACAGCAGTAAGAGTAGATGGACACTATGTATGTATCTTTATGAAACAGTTCCCCTACAAAGATGAGCTGAAGAACCCTGTCTTAGGTTCCGCAATGAGATCTGCAAATCCTCTAAATTACCTCCACAAGGAGGTATTAGAGGCATTGAGATGCTCACATTGCACAACAACAAAAAACATACAGCTGTGCAGAAGCGATTTGACACCCAAAAAAAAAATGTTTTTATCCAAAAATCACTGGCAAAGCGCCCACACAAGTTTATGCAAAGCTCCATCTTCTCACACTACGTCAGACCATCGATACCGACACCGCATCACTGCTAGAACTTATGCTAGACGCCCCCCTCTGGACCCACCCTGTTACCGCCCATTAAAAAACCCATAGTGTCGAGCTGAGCTGCAGTTCTGTCAATCACATTATTTATGATAGAACAATAAATCAATTAAAAACTGCCTCTATTATTTTTTTTCTTCCTCTCTTGGTCAAATGCTTCTTACTCTAGCACACATTCTTTCTCTCTCCCTCTGATTTTCTCCCTTTGTTGTCCCTCCCATCTCTGCCCTTCACTCGCTTTCTCTCACCCATCACTCTCTCGCTTTCTCTTCTCTCTCTCTCTCTCTCTCTCTCTTTATCCACACGTTCAGCAGATGATCAGTGTGTTAAAGCAGAGCTATTACAGTTCTCGCATTAGGGGAGAGAGAGAGAGAGAGAGAGAGAGAGAGAGAGAGAGAGAAATAGAGAGAGAGAGAGACAGAGCAGGACTGGAGCGGCACGAGCACGAGAGTAGAGAGGAAAAGAGGAAGAAGAGATTTACAGGGAGACTGTGTCGCCTCTAGATGCCCCATTTATTGAAAAAAAAAAAGAAGTATTATTATTAAATAATAATTCTTATTACTTTTAATAGTGTTATCTATTAGTATTAGTATCTTCTTATTTTCAGTAGTATTAGTATTATTATCATCATAAAATAAAAATTAAAAGAAAATTTAATTTTTTCTTGGAATCTAAATAAAAAATAAGAAAAAAATAAATATATATATTTAATATATAACTAATATATATATATATATATATATATATATATATATATATATATATATATGTATATGTATGTATGTGTGTGTGTGTGTGTGTTTTAATTTGATCATTGCTATTAAATATATAAAAAAGGTTTTTTGACTTTAGTGGAACCCTTTTTGGTGCTAGAACCATCTACAACATCTACACACTTTAAAACGTTGCTTCTTCAAAGGTTCTTTCATAAAGGCAATGGCTCTATTTAGATCCACGAGTTTTATCTAGAACACTTTTGAGCTTAAATGGTTCTTTGCATGGTGAAATGGTTTTCAGATTGATGGAGAATGTGTTGTATATGGTTCTGTATAGCACCAAAAAGGGTTCTGCTACTGTTAAAAGATATCAGAACCATTATAGACAATTAGAACTATATAGAACCATTTTCACTGCCTTCAGAACTAGTTACGTCTGAGTAAATGATGGACAGACAGACAGACAAATAGGTAAGTAAGCGCAGTGGTCAGTGAGGGTGCGCTCTGTGCTCTTACTCCGGTGCTCCGGTCCTGGTGTCCGCCTTGCGCGGCGCTCAGCCTCGTGCTGTTAAGCCCCACGAGCGCGGGCAGCGTCTGGGACATCCAGTTGGTGATCATGGCCATCGTGCTGAGCACCACGCCGATCTTCAGCAGCGGCACCGACATCTCCGCGCGCTCAGCCCGCGGCCGCGCTCATTCAGCGCACGCGCCCCTAAACACTACCGCTTTAGCTGCTGCTGCCTTTCAGCTCGCGCGCTTCTGCTTCACTCACAGCTGCTGGATCTTCAGAGCAGGAGACGCGGGGAGAGGCCCCGTGCACCAACACGCGGAGACGCTCCCTGGCCGCCCGCGAGGACGGCGGCGGCGTGCCGGTCATCATCTGCTCTCCTCTCCTCTTCTTCTTCTTCTTCTTCTGGAGCGCGTGCGGAAAACTGAGCCGCTCGGGTGGCGCGCGCGGAACAGAAAGAGTCTCGTACAGCGAGCGTGTCTCTGCGCTCCTCTCGCGCTCCGTTCCAGTGGTTCGCAACTCCACTCGACTCAACTGCGCGCGCTTCGCCCCTACACCTCGCTTTTGGAGAAGGAGGAGGAGGAAGGTGTGGTGACGTCACTACACACACCCCCCCTCCCCAAACCCCCCCAACCCGCCCTTTAAACCGCCGCGTGCGCTCGTGAGGGCAGTAAGTAGTAGAACGGACGCTTCGGCTAAGGTCACGCGCCACGCGCTCTCCTCGCGGTCAGCAGGAGTTTGACCACAGCCGCTCAGATTCCCGCAGCGCGCGGCACGTCGGTGTGAATGAACGAATGAATGACGCGCACGAGCCGCAGTGATGTCACAGACACGCCCTTCTCACGCGCGCGCTCCTTCTGTCCTCCTTTGTTGTTTCTCTAGTTATGTATTTGTGCATGAAGAAATATAATGCGTTTGTTTGTTTGTTTGTTTTCCTTTTTTCCCTCACAGTGCACGCGCTCATCTGGATGTTCTCCGTAAGGGGGCAGGGCAAAACAGATAACAGAAAATGTCTTCATTATTATTATTATTAATATTATTATTATTATTATTATTATTATTATTATTATTACTATTTATTTGTTAGAACAAACGAGGTTTTACAAAGCAGGCGATGTAAACTCTACACTCTTAAAAAGGGTTCTTCAAGGGTTCTCTAGTGTTCTATTCAGAAACATGAGTTCTGTAC